GAAAAAAAAAAAAAAAAAAAAAAAAAAAAAAAAAAAAAAAAACACAACTATTTGGCTTGATAGTATCATTCCGTTTGTATCTATGATACTTTGTGACTTAGAGACTCAAGGGTGGGGAGCTTATTAAGGATCTTAAAAAGACTTTCCCAAAAGCTGCTCCTGAGCCATAGCTGTAGGAATTAGTAAGATTAAATAGAAATGATACTATAAAGGAACTAGGGAAAGTGGAAGGCACCACTGGCTGTGATGCATTTCATCCTAATTACTGACTAGCTGAAGACCAGGCAACCACGCACATTCTTTGTTTCAAATAACCCCACAGATCCAACATTTTCAGATAACTATGCAGATGCTCAATACATGGCAAAAAGAATTCTTGAGGACTGAAGGACAAAAAGCACATGCTCCAATCATAGTTGATGCTACAAGACTGCAGTTCATGCATTTCAAAGCTTACTGCAGTTTCAGTATCTGGGGTCATTAAAGTAGGAGAGAAGAGACCAAGAGAGGGGAATGAAAGGTGGGCACTCTGCCTTTAGATCTGGTGAGAACCCTACGGTCCCAGCACTGAAGACTGTCTTTATGGCCTCAGTACTGTCTTCTCCTTTTGTTCCTAACCAGAATTTAGCAAACTTTTTCTTTTTTTTAACTTCAAATAACGCTTTGGTTTATTACCCACTAGTTCAGTTATATACGGCTAAAAGCTTCTGAATATTTCACACCAATTACACTTACTTGCATGGTTAAAAAGTCATCCTCTTAACACATATGATCAGAGAAAATTTTATAGTCTTCTATTCACAAACAGCTTCTCTTAACGGGCTCCAAAACTTTAAAGTCCCATTAGGAATAACCATTCCCCTAACTAAATTCAGGCAATATTACTAGTCTGCCCAGGCCTCTGTCCATCCATTTAATTTGATTCATTTATGCTTGTGTCTCCTATGACACAAATGGGAGAAGTAACAGTTTCTCTGAAAGCTGTGCCCTGCTCTTATATTTTAATGTTAAAGGAAACAACACACCTGGAATATAGGCAGGTCCTAAAATGTGCTTAAAAGATTAAAGAATACTTTTCAAAAACAGGAAAACATGGGTTCCTGTATTAGACACACATCCCTAAACATACAGAGGATTTCCTCCTTTGTTTATGTAAATCATACAATATTTAAGCATCCTAGGAAACACGAAGGCTTTTCTTCTAACTTTAAAGTTGCTATGAACTCCTATTTTTACTTCTGGTCCATTTGTTTCCAAGTAATTTATAGCATTATAAAAGCTCAAGCACAATGCAGGATCACTGTATCTTACGTAAATGTTTAGAATTCACGTTTTAGGAAGGCAAGTTCCACTGGAAGTTTGTCACTGAAATACAGAGGGCAGGAACTCCACCGACAACAACAAATGTCCCCATGGAATTCCTCAACAGTGACCACAGCGCAAAGAGGTCATTTTTAATGAAGGCAGTTACAACTCTCTCCATTCCTGCCTTCCCCCCGCCACTGGTTTATTCCTTGCCCAGTTCTTGGAGTCTGGATAGTTTTCCTGGGCACTGAGCCTGGTTTGGCTTAATTTTTGCTTATTGTTATTATCTCCAACATCCCAATTTCTATTTTGAAGCAGGTGCCTTAAAATTATATTATTATTATTTTTTATTTTATTTTTTTCCTTTTTGTCTTTTTTTACTGACCAGTAACGGGATCGCAACCCTTGGTGTCGCGCCCGTACNACATGGGATCCGAACCCTCGGCGGGAGCGCTGCCGCACTCCCAAGCGGCGCACTCTCCAGTGCGCCACCAGGCCGGCCCAAAAATTATATTATTAAATACACATTATATAGAGTTAAATAAAGACTTTTTAATTTCCTTCTGAAATCAAAACTCTTGTACAAACATACCATTGCCAGAGTTTTTTGAGTACCATACTTGAAGAAACTGTGTTTTAACCCCTTCTTCATTTGGTGTTTTTTGGGGTCCACAGCTGTTAAAAAATAAGTCTGTTATTCAAATTCCAGATGTCTAGTGAAAAATAGTAATTTAAGGGCCGGCCCGGTGGTGCACTGGATAGTGCGCCGCTTGGGAAGCACGGCGGCGCTCCCACCGAGGGTTCGGATCCCACATACAGACCGGTTCCCGCTCACTGGCTGAGCGAGGCGCGGGAGCAACGCCGAGGGATGAGATCCCGTTGCCGGTCCCCGGTCCAGGCCCGGGGCAACACTGAGGGTTGCGATCCGTTGCCGGACACGGAAAAAGACAAAAGACAAAAAAAAAAAAAAAAAGAAATTTAAATTCTCTTTCAAAAGGAAAGCTAATTGATAGCACACCCTGGAAAATGCAACCAAATTACTTGGATCAGTAATACCCTAGTGCTATATGTCCAACTACCCCCGTAATATAGACTCCCAAATTCATTATTTTGAATAACTTTAAAGCCTGGATAACAAGCGCACTTGTGTTATGCCTTCAACATTCATGAGGAAAACAGGCATTTAAAGGGCTATGGTGGGCATG